CGGATTAGATTCTTGGACAGCAGCTGGAAGCAGTGTTAGGTTCTCTATTCTTTCAGCAGTTCTGTTTCGTCTTGTATAGACCCGAAGTTCCTGAGGAGTGGGTTGTGTAGACTGAGGAAGTTGAATAGGAGAAGGTGCGGGTTGTGTAGACTGAGGAGGTTGAATAGAAGATGGAGGATGTTTGAAAGTCGGTGAGGGACCCGTGTCAGTTGGTAAAGGAACACGGGGCTGTTGTTCACTACGACTACTCTCCTCCTGAATGACAGACCATTGGTAGTATAATTGATGCTAAAAAAAGGTGACATCCATAGAATTATAGACCTTTTACGTTGAATGACAATAACACTTGTAGCCTTTCTTGTTGATCAAATAACCTATGAATATGCATTTGACAGATTTTGGGTCTAATTTATTGCGGTGTTGTTTGTGAATATGAACAAAGACGGAGCAACCAAATAGTTTGGTAGGGACAATAGGGGACAACTGAAGAGAGTGTACAGGTATTTGGAAAGGAGCGAAGGAGGACATCAATTGGACTACGGAAACCCAGAATCTGAGAGGGCATCCGATTTATGAGGTAGGCAGCGGTCAATGTTGCCTCGCCCCAACAATATTTAGGGACCGATGTGGTAAACATGAGACAGCGGACTACCTCCAACAAGTGACGATTTTTCCGCTCGGCCACCCCATTTTGTTGGGGAGTATCAACACACGTGCTAAGGTGAATGATGCCATGTTGAGTAAGAAAAGTTCCTAGGAAATCTTTCTACAATAAAATAATTCCTATAATTATGGAATAAACATAAATACCTATAATTAAGGAATTACCCTTTTTATACTATGATTAAATATAACAAGTACTAAATAGAATTAAAATAAATAATAATAAGGTGCGTAATTCCACACATAATGTAAACTACATGCAGTCAATTAGAGTGCATGTAGTCAATAAAGAAAAACAGGTGTTTCCACATGCACCCAAACTTTACAGAGCAAAGAGTTATTCCAAACAAGACATTCGACTTTTTCCTCATTTTCATTAGATTCACAGAAAAAACTGTGCATAAGCACTAGAAGGAACTATATGTGGCAGTCAATATAAGCATTAATAGAAGGAAAAAAAAATCCATAAATGTGCCAAAATATGCAAAGGAATTCAAGCAACGTCCCCTAAAATACATATAAATCTCTTTGAACCATTTGAAGTTTGTCCATGGTAACAAACTAATGCTCACCAACAGATCTGCTAGTCAGAGCAGATTATACAAACATGAATGGCTCACCTTTGAAAGAGACAGAAGACAAGCATGCTTTCTCTATAATCAGTAAAGCTATCCATTTCGCGCTCAACTCTGGTTTTTTCATCCCATCATCACCATCACTGCCAGCTCTGCTGTCATTAAAAAGCGAAAGAAGTTCTTTGACTTTTGAAATTATAGCTCTGCAGGTAGAATCAACTCCTTTATTTGCAATGTCCATTGATTGAGACTTGTGTACTTCTGATAGATCAAAGTCGATTTTCATTGTGTTCTTCTCAACACTTTCCATAGGTAAACTCATCAGCTTAAGAAGAAAACGTACACAAGCTGGGGAATCTAGAAGAGCATCATCTTCAACCTGAATGCAAGACAGAGAAAGGAATTGGAATCACAAGGTTCGCATTATATCTACTTCATAAACCATATTTCCAAGGAAAATCATCAGAAAAGCTTGACAAAGTTGAAGAGAGCAAAACTTGCAAATTTTCAACATGAAAGAAAGTTAACTAGATCCAAAGCAAAAATAATTATCAGTCTGGTTGAAGGAATACCACGTTTGCACATAACTTAACGAGGTAATTCACTCTACCATCTACCTTAAAAAATAAATTAAATAAAAAACATTCAAAGAATAGCATGTCCAGCAATCAAATGAAAATAAAAAAATGTAGTTAAACGCATAGTACCAAAGTTGATGAATCTCCATTAGGAAAATAACTACACCACAAAAATTTATAAAAATATAATACTTCATGAGCTACATATGCATGGGAATGAGAAGGATTCATAAAGCCTACACAAAATGGTGGGGTAAGTCTGTACAAATAAATAGAGGAAGAGTACTCAAAATGCTGTCCTAATAAGTTAGGATAAGATGAGATGGAATGAATTTCACCTCCTAATTGATGTATGATGTCTTAGGATCTAGAATTTTCTAATGCAAATTTACACTAATGTGCAAAATTTCAAGGTAGCTTGAGTAATGAAATAGGTTTTAAGAGTTACTGATTTTTAAGTTAGCACTCTTGATTGTTTTGTGGCTTACATCCATGAAATGGCCTACAAGCGAGACTAACAACCTCCAGAAAGAAGAAAGCTAAAGGAAGGGTTTTACAGGCTTGAGATGACTTCGATGAGGTGGTTGAGGTTACATGACTTCTCAAGAACCCAGAGATAAATGAGTCCATGGAATGTTTTGATAGATTTAAAGTTGACAGGAGGTCAGCGCCACACATATGAGTCAAGATCTTTTTTTTATTTATGGTGACATTTCTTATCCTCCCATGACTTTACAACAACAACAAAGCCTTAATCCCACTACGTGGGGTCGGCTACATGAATCATTTTTCTCCATTCGTCCTATTTAGTGTCATATTTTCATTTAGTTCTAGTAAATTATGATCATTTTTAATACAATAAGCCCAAGTCTTCCTAGGTCTACCTCTGCCTTTCTTAACACTAGTCGAATTTAAAACATCTACTCTCCTAATCGGATCATCTAATGGTCGACGTTTAATATGACCAAACCATCTAAGACGACTTTCTCTAATTTTGTCTGTCACAGGAGCTACACCAACCCTATCACGAATATATTCATTCCGCATTTTGTCTCTAAGTGTAAAGCCACTCATCCACCTAATCATTCTCATCTCGGCAACACTTAACTTATTATTATGCTTCTCTTTTAAAGGCCAACATTCAGCGCCATAGAGCATTGCAGGTCTCACCACCATCTTATAAAATTTTCCTTTCAGCCTTAGCGGTACTTTTCTATCACACAAAAGGCCCGAAGCATTCCTCCACTTCAACCAACCAACTTGAATTCTACTATTAACATCCCCA